TCTCCTCGAGGAGGCAATAATTTCATGTATGCCAGTTGTTGTGACTGTTTTCATTTCCATAAATTCATTGTATCGTTTCAATGCTGAATAAGAACCACCTTTCATGACCATAAACAATGATTCTTTGAGAGGTGCTTTATAACTCTCTTGAAAATTGACACATCCACATCGAATGGGATTCAATCCACGAACAGAAATGTGAGATTTTTCATCCTCATACACCAATGAAAGAACATCTCCATAGTGTAGCACTTGATTATTGGTTGCTGCACTAGCCGTCGTTGATGATGATATTTCACTGACCGGAACCAAGACTGCTCCTCCTCCCGATCCAGCAGCTCCCAACATGACTGAATTTTGTTGAGAGCCTGATGATGCCGCTGCACGCGATGCATACATCAGGAGTGAATTCGTGCCCAGTGAGGACATGATGATGTGAGAATGTGGATGATGATGATGGTGTTTGTATTTTTTTTCGGATGATGCGAAATGTCATCAGTGATCAAGCCATCGATACAAGGACACCACTCGAGTATATCAATTAAAAACAATGACTATTGATTGCAGAATCATGATCGCTGGAATGTATGACCATCCAATGATTTTCATCTGTTCATCATCATCTTTTGAAACAAATATTTGGATAATGAGCAAGGAAATCGCAAAGCTTTTGGAAGGGGGAATGTATTGTGGCACTCAATCTGAATATTTAATTTTCTGTTGACTTGGTCAAAGAATAAGACCTATTGTTGCATCATCGTTTCTCTCCACGCCATACGCATGGCCTTTCAATGCCAGTCAGAAACGTTTTTGAAATTTTAACGGCCGTAAATTTGACGCCAAGAGAAAAAAAGCAACAACACCTATTCCCGCTCACTCTGTCGTGTTCTGTTCCCGAATTTATCATCATCAAATAATAGAGAGAAAGTGTGATTGAAATACTTATCCGAATGAGTTTGAATTGTTCCTAGATTATTGCTATTAAGAAATCCATTGGTATTTAAGGACTCAACAACAGTAGCCGTTATAATTACCACCAATCATTCTTTTGTACAAACCCTCAACAACATCCTTACTCGTAACTATAATTTAGACAACCCTCAACGATCCTATGGCTGAGCAAATGAATGTAGATTTGGGACAAAGTCCCTTCATGATATCCCAGCCAACAGCTACCTTCAATAATAATTCCATTGTGGTTTCAAATCTGGGAAGAGCACATCAATCATTGAACAATGGTAGCCCGAATCAGCTCAATGGAACCTCAATTGCTCGTAGTTATAACTCTTCAAAACGAACAAATGTTGGCAACGAGAGAACAGGTGGTGATGGAACCTTTTTGACCGAAGTATCAATCAACAACCCCGAAAATTATGACAACAGAATTGTATATAATAATCTCATAGAGACACCTCAACCAGCACGGCAATCTCCAGTGTTTGGCAAAGCTAGGATCTACCCACCCATACAGGATTTGGCCAATTACATGACGGCCCTTAATCGAAAAGTTCAACTCAAGAAATTTACAGGAATTCTGGATCAACGAAACTCACTCCACCAACCTATCGTCGTTCACAGTTACAAGGACTCTCAATTCAATAATGGTCTACGAAAATTACCTCCGCCACCTAGGAAGGATGCATTTTATCCTCTCAAAAAGCTCAATAAGCGAAAACAAATCGAGGAATTGGCTGCAGAGCTGTCGAAAAAGGACAATTTTGAACATGATTTTTCCAAGCACTCAATTAACAATGAAGATGACAAGGTGTCCGTACGATCCAAACATAGCAGTACCGGCTCCAAGTCAAAGAGTCTTCCTCCTTTGAATCCAACGCGTGAACAAAGTGATGCCATCAGTCAAGCATTTTCCGATTTAAATCCTGATGCATCACTCGAGCTTCCTACAAAAGAGGCCACTAACGACGACAAATTCGATACCAAATCTATATTCTCCTCACGCTCCAAATATTCGCAGAGGAGTAGGAAATCTAAGGCTCCTTCCGAATTGTCCTTCTCGATTGGAAGTGATGCAGAGAGCGATCGAATTCGTCAACTGGAGCATTCTTTGAAGCATGAAGAAGAGGCACGAAGAAACATTCTTAAAATTCTGGATGAAATTCAACAAAAACAAGAATTTCTACTGAACAAATTATCAGAGCAAGAGAGGGAGCAATTTGAGAGCATGTACGGACGATATTCCAACCTCATTTCTGACCTCAAGAAAAATGATGACAATATTAGCGTGGCGCTCTCTGTTAAGGATATTCAAGAGTTGAAACGCCAATCTGATATTTGTGACAATTCACAGGGGGAGCATTTACCAAAGCTTGACAAGTCAGAGGTTCATAGCACTGTGTCCAGAAAAAGTGTGGCAAAGAGTGATCATTCGACGGCCATTTCTCACCATTCTGTACTGTCACGACAGTCACAAGCACTGTCGCTTCAATCAAATCACTCACAGCGGTCGCAGGCACTTACACATCATTCCAGGCAGCTATGAGCAAGTGAAATGTAAACTTTGGTCTGTAAAGCATCCATTAAATTACTTTTACATTCAATTTGAGGTTTAACAATGTGTCTGTGACGCCAGTTTATGTGAGCAAGACATAATTGTAGCGAGCTTGTCACACATGAAAAGGCACATCACTTTTCATCTAAAGAATCACAAGAAAAAAATCTTTCACACCTGCCAATCCCACAAACCTCCCAATAACAACAACTCAAAATGATTCTTTCTCTTTCCCTCTTCTCCCTCCACATTGTATCAAGTTATTACAAATATTATTCCTATGTGGTGCAATATTGTGACGTGATGCGAAAGAATCAACACTCCTATGTGATGGATGAAACAATTTTTACATTATTGTCTCCGTACATTGCCATGTTGTTGTTGGAAAGTGTAATCTTTTCGTTAGTGTTTCAAGTGTCCATGTTATTGGCCTTTTTGATGAGTGTCACGATGGGTATGTGAAATTTTTAATATATCTTCATGTGGATGGATTCACATGATTCACTGTTAATGCTGAAAATATTTATGAACCGATCATGATTATACTGAAATATTGTTGTATGAAATCATCATCATGATGAAACGAATTTCGGATAACAATAATTCCATATTCGGAAATCCGGTACAGTTGTCATACTCTTTCAATTTAGACCTCCAGCTTTGGTCACTACTGTTGGAAGTAACAATGTATCGTCATTCGCAACCACCACTTCATTCTATTCATTCATTTCAAATGTCATCATTCACACTCTTTATTTTGTAACTTTTATTGTGAATGCGAGTTCACATTTTTCATTTCTTTCCATAACATTGCTATCACTGCCACTGATTCTCATCATTTCACACACTCTGATCAAGTTGTGTAGTTTTTATGTATTCTATGCAAATACAGAGATTTTAGAAAATCATGATTCAAAATATTTAATTCCAATTTGGCAATTAGCAAATCCAGAGTTGAAATTATTGGCAAAACAATTATTTTATATGAGAGAGGAAATGGCATTGATTCAAACAGTAGGATTGTACATGATCATGTTATTGAGCTGGATCTTATCGATGGCAACTTCCAAAAATGGAATTTGGTGTGTGATTGGAATGACCATTGGCATTCAATGTCTAACACAAATACGCTTCATTGTGAATCGAATTTCACTCATTTTGACACCTCTCTTTGAAAAACACCTTCTTTCTCAATTCGCCATACTCGCATTTATTTTCCCATATTCCAATTCCGATCTCGAAAGTCAAGAATTAGAATTAATTCAACAAGTTGAAAAATTGAAAATTTCTAATCATCCAACACCTCAAAAAGCAATTGTTACAAGCTCTACCTCCATGAATTCTCAACCACAAACGTCACCTGTCAAGGAAGTGAAACCTGTGAGTATTCTTAAAAAACCTTCTTCATCCACCACAAACGACAAGGAACAATCAATGAGCAACACTTTGGATTCTTCTGAAAAGAAATCCAGTAAGGTCAGTGTTACTTCTGAAACGTCACAACAAGAAAAACAAGAAATCATTCATCCAACCACTTCTTCAACAACCACCACTCAACGAGTTCCTTCCATGAGATTTAGAACTAGTTCTTTAGCTAAAATGTTAAAACAAGGCCAAGCAGAATCTTCAACCAATTCCTCGTCAACGAGTGGTCAGACAGATGTGTCCAAGACAACCACAAATGTGAACACAGAAGAATCAACCATAATTTCTCCTCATGGAGGTGTCAGCAGTGGAGTTGCCATTGTTGGAATGATTGGAGAACGATTGAAACAGAAATTACAATTAAGAACATTGAAAGATTCAAATTCTTCGATCGTTTCAGATTCCACAAGTTCTGTGGAAAAGTCTGAAAATGGTGATGAAACACATTCACAGGGAACCATGGTTGTGAAAAAGGCAAAAATTGCAAAACCTCGTCGAGAGAAAACTCGTACGAATATTTCCTCGTTATTGAATCATGTCATTGAAGCTACTACTGATCAGCACGATATTGAATTGCCAAATCAAAATGAATTTGACAAGTTGGAGGAAATTTCAAAATTGGAAAAGAAATTGGGAGCCATTGGAGCATTATCCATTCAAAAATCACAACCACACAAAAAGGATGAAATAACAGAAACGTCAACAACTACAGAAGAGAATACTTCTGCCTCTTCTGTCATTTCTTCCATTGGAAATCGAATGGCAAAAAGTTCATCAAGTTCCTTGATTCAAGAAGAGGAAACAAACAAAAACAACACTTCAACCAAACCAAAAGGAGGAGTTGCTATTGGAGGAGGAGGTATTAGCTTGAATGCCATTTTGATGGCTCGTAATAAGCTTAACAAAACAGGAGAGGATTTAAAGTAGAACCAAATGATTCATCCAAATGTAAAAACATTGTAAAATATTACAAGTTGTTTTAAACGTGATCGAATTTACTTTATTATTAGCATCAAGGACAATCTTCTAACACTCCTATCCAAACGTGATCAACTTGACCAACAAAATGTCATCACGTTCCTTGTACGATCATCATTCTTACAATCATCAACTACAACCACATGAAAACAACCACTGGCAACTCCTTCTCGAGTCGTCACTCGATGAACAAAATGATCATTTGAAACGACAAGAAGAAGAAATTGAACAATTACGACTTAGTCTAGAAGATGAAGAACGAAAATTGAAAATATTCGAACAAGACTATCAACGTCTCGAATCTGAAAAGAATACACTCTTACAACATGTTGAAGAGTTACAACGTAAGATCGAACAAGTTCAATCACAGGAAGGTCAACTCGAACAAGAAGAAATTTCAATCAAGCAAGCTCTGGAACTTGTTGAATTAGAATTGAAACAGTATCAAGATGAGATCCAAAAAGTAGAATTGGAAATTCAAGAGTGTGAACGAGAGATGGAACGTTTGAGAAACGAAGTCCTTGAAATGGAAAAACACATTCATCAACTCGAACAAGAAATTGAAGAATTGAAAAGAGAAATCGAACGAGTCGTGGAAGAATTACAACGTTTACACGAAGAAATTCAAAACATTGAGAATGAAATTCAACAGAAAAAGACAGAAATCAAAGAATTAGAACTTTATTTGGAACAACTGAATTTGGAAAAAACAGAAATGGAACAAGAACAATCATTTCTTGAAATGGAAAAACAACAAGCGGAACAACAATTGCAACAATTACACTCTCAACTCGAACAATCAAAACAAGAATTGTTACAATTGAAACAACAAGAAACAGAACTGTCCAAAGAAAAACTCAACGTCGTTCAAGAAATTAAACAATTAATTCAAGAACAAGTGAATCATTCTCAACAACAAGAACAAGAAGAACGAAATTTAACAAATGAACAAGATCAGAAAGAACAGATTGAGAATTCCATTCAACAATTGACCAATGAAGGACAGAATTTGAAAGATCAAGCTCAACATGTCACTTTAGAAATTGACACCTTTACAAAAACCATTCAAACCATTTCACATCAAATTGAAACTTTTGAAAATGTACTTTCCAATCTTCAAAGTCAAGACAAGTCCATTACGGAATTCATTTCTTCACTCGTTCATGAAATTTCACAAAATAAGAACGTCCTTGAAACCCTTCAGAAAAATATTCAAAATTTCCAACAAATGATTTCACAATTCAAGCAAGAACTGGAATCTCTCCAACAAGAACTCTCTCAACTCGTGAATTCTTTTCAACAATCTCAAAATGACCTTATTCAGAAACAAGAGGAACAACTCGAATCGGAACAACAAGTTTCACAGGCGGAACAAGAACTCATTCAAGCTCAACAAGAATTGTCACTCGCGAAATTGGAACTCGCTCAAGCAAGTGCCATTCCCTATAATTATGCGGGAATTGCTAAAGCAGCAGCTGCAGTGGCAAAAGCTTCGGTTCGAGTGGGAATTGCTGTTGCTCGTGTCACTTTTGAAAAATTCAAATTGGCTCGAGTGGTTTTATTTGTGACAGAATTAGTGAAAAAAGTTGAACATTTGACAGATGAGATGGAAAAGAGACAACAAAAGGAACAAGTTTGTCAAGACAAGATTTCTCGAGTGGAATCTGAATTGTCATCCAATCAAGCAACTATGGAGAAGGAAACGAAAAAACTGGAAGAGAAGGAAATGCTTCAAAAAAGTCAATTACAAAAAAAGGAAAATGTCAAGTCTGAAATTGCGAAAAATCAAAACATGTTGAATCAAGAAATTCAAAAAAAGGAACAAGTTGAGTCGCAACAAAAGATCAAAGAACAAGAAAAGTCTCAACTTGAGAATGATATGGAAAAGAATGAACAACATGTTCAACAACAAACACATGACAAGCAACAACATGAATTCTCAATTCAAAACATCGTGTCAAGATTATTCGAACTTGGTCAAAAAGGCGTCGAAATTGTGAATCGTTTAAACCAAGAAAATTCGCGAGAGAATGAATTGAATCAACAAATGCAGAGTGTTCTTAGGAATCAGGAATTCATGAAATCTGAAATTTCTCAAACCGATCACAAAATTTCTTCCACCAATCAACAAATTCTTCAACTGAATCATGGAATTTCTCGAGTGTCACTTCAAATCGAGCAAATCTCGAAACAAGATGCATCCGCCAAACAAGAAATGTCTTTATTATTGTCCAATCTCGATCATTGTGAGAAGAAGAAGGAAACTCTTTCGAATGCGTTGAAAGAGAAAAGTTCACAACTTTCGCAATGGAATCAATCGATGGAAACTCTAAAGAATGAACATGCCAAGAAGCATCTCGATTTACAACATGTGGAGGCCTTTATGGATGTCTTAAAGGTTACAAGTGAAGAAAAACAACAAGCGAGATTGATTCTGGAGAATACTTGTGAAGAGTTTCAACAACATTTGAAACAAGTCACACAAGAGAGAAATTTGTTGAAACAGAAAACATTTCAAATGCAAAATGAAAAACGAGAAATGGAGTATCGTGTGCAATCCCTTTCATTGGATAGTACCAAGTCCTTGCTCAAGCTGAATGAAGAGAAACAGCAGGTCAGTAACAAGAACAAGCAACTGACGAAGGAACTTTCGTTTTTGGAGGATATGAAAATGAAAAAAGAACAGTTGAAGATGCAAGTAGAACATTCCAAGACAACTCTGCAAGCAATTACCTCTCCAAAGAAGAATGTTTCAAATTCACAAGTTTATGATTTATCACAACATTATATAAAGAAATAAATATTCGGTATTGTAGATGAGCTGTAGTTAATTACTAATTCCTAACTTGACGTCACACTTTTCCTAACTAGACAACCTTATGTCACACTCTTTACTATCGTTGCACAATTAAGAAAACAGTGTTTTGTAGGGTGTGTTTTAATAAAAAAAAAAGTACTCTGAGAAATGGATGATAAAATAATTATTAATGCTCGCTCAATTAAACAAGTTATGTCTGTTGCTTGATTGATAGGCTTGTACAGGGCGGTCATTGACATTTGTTAACTTTTTTTTCTTCAACTCAACAACGTTCATCAGACTTCTTATTTCATTCTTGTGGTCTTCAAGACCTTGCAACACCAATCTCAATTGATTTTTCTTGGCATCAAAGAAGTCTAATTCAATCTTGGTTTTACGTGCTTGATCATGTGTGTCGGAAATATTCACTTCCAATCGATTCATATCAAGTTCAGTTTGTCTCAATTGTTGGACAGTCTTTTCTCTCTTGTCCAGCTGCTTCTTGTGATCAAGTTTTGTATTGTCCAAGACAGTTGTCTTTTGCTGCATTTCCATATTCACACGAGAGAGTGTTTCTTTTTCGTTCTTCAAGGCGTTCTCAGTATTCTTGATTTCGTTTTGTTTGGACTGTTTCTTTTGAGAAAGATCCTGCTTTTTCAATTGCAATTCGTCCTTATTGGAATTGAGATTTTGCTTTTCATTAATGAGAACAGCAATGTCGTTTTGGATCTTGTCTCGTCTATTTTCCTTTTCTTTCACAGTTTTTGTTTTCTGATCGTAATGTGTCTTGGTGGATTTCAATTTGGAAGCTGTGTTCTGAATGTCATTCTTATTTCTAGTCACAACACGAGTCATGTCTGCAATATTCTTTGTGGCTTGTTTTTTCAACTCTTTCAACTTGTCCAATTGTGAGACAGATCGATCGATATTTCTCTGCACTTGAGTCTGATGTAATTTTAGGCTTTCAATTTGTCTGGCCACAGCATCTCTCTCACCTTGACGACTAACATGAACGGTGCGGCTAGAACATCCACTCTTCTCCTGACGAGTGTAATCTTTAAGGCTCTCCATATGTTTTGATAGTTTTTGCATTTCAGCTAACAAGTTTTGATTTTCAACTTCGAGCTTCTTCAAACGTTCGCTTTCTAGATCATATTCATTTTGATGTTCTTGAAGATCTTGTTGTTCTTCTGCAAGTTTTGATTCATTGTCGACTAGATCGGATTTGAGGTTTTCCAGATCATCTTCCAGAGATTCAATCTTACTTTCCAAATGAGTGACCTCATTGGAGACTTTGCTAATTTCGTTTTCAACACTTCTCTTTTCATTCTCTGCGAGCTGCATCTTGAAATCTACATTCATGATTTGACGAGTCACCTCTTGGACATCATTCGACAACTTGTCCATCTTACTATCAATATCTTTAACAACAGCGTCCATGGCAAGGATTTCAGAACTCATTTGCACCACACGTTTTTCCATCTCCAAAATATCACGATTCATTTTCTGAATATCTTCTTTAAGAGCGTTCATTTCTTGTTCCAATTTCTTGACAGCCTCTTCCAACTTTTCCAATTCTTCTTCGTCTTTCTGCTTCTCTACTTCTAATTGACGTTTCTTGGATTTCATTTCTTCGAGAGTGCGTTCTGCCTTTTTCAATTCTTTTTCGAGTTGAGCACTTTCATTTGTCTTCTGCTCGAGTTCGTGGACAGTGTCTTCAAGCTCCTTATTGAGCTCAGCGATCTTCTTTTCAGTCGCAGCAAGAGACTCTTGTCCGTCTCGTTGAGCTTGGTCCATCATTTCCAAAGAAATGTCATTGGCATCAAGTAAATTCTTTTTGAAATTCACTCTATTGTTTTGATCATCGAGATTGAAGATGGAGGAGTTGATCATTGTGTAGCTTTTTGTGTGGTGGTGTTTTGATTTTTTTTGTTACAACATCGGTGGGTTGTGACAGGACGCTTAAATTTTGATTAACAAACGTGAAATGGTTTTTCGAATTCACGATCACGCTGAATTTAAATCTATCAAATAAAGACTTTCGCATTCAGGTTGATGATTCAATATTCTAAAAAAATGATTTCGTCATCACCTTCACCTCTTTGTCTCATGCCGTCACTGTCACGACTCACGTCCCTTTCCTCACAACAGTTCGATCAGGCTGTGACCAGTCTGTTCAAAAAGGCCAAAACCATTGGCTTTATCCCAAGTGAAACCTTTCAAAAAGAGCTACGATTGACGCTTCCTCTCTCCTTTCGCTCATCTATTTTTTCTGAAATAGTTGAAAAAGCAGCTAATTGCTCCAATGTGAATGAATGGTGTGAACAAGCACACACTGTTATTGAACGAGAAATGAATCGTTTGAAGAAGGAATTACAGAATGATGATGATGGATATTCCACAAAATATAATCAAACAACGTTCAGCTCCAGTTCTTTCTCTGCAAGAATGGATGATTTGAGTAAAATTCCAAACACTTCAAATCCTTCATTACAGCCAAATGTTGAAGACACGTCTTCATTAATGCCTCTAGAGGTGATTTTTGAGTGCCAGTCCAACTTTGTCTATTCAGAAATGAAACGCTTACAGCAAGAGCTATCGGACCTTGAGAAGGCCACTCATCTCGTCCTTCAACACCAACTTCAACTCTTCCGTGAAGGATATTTACAATCACTATTCGGAACCGCCCAAGTAGCACAAAAGAAAATCAATCCCGAAGATCGAATCATGTTCAAAGACTCCATGATCCATGAGATTTGTCCCAAAGGCATACAAATCTCCTTCCATCCCAACCACGTTTCGTTTCAAAATTTACATTTTTTTCAAGTGAATTCGGTTAAGATCGTTCAACCACCACAACCGAACGTACCCGAATTGTCGACCAAAGAGCGGTCCAACGTTTTTATATTCACCAATTATTTCCGTTATGTCATGAAAAAAGAAACGCATTCATTGAATTCCATGATTTATCTCCAAGAAGAGGTGATTGAAGAAGGTCTCAAGAAGGTGGAATCCGAAATGATTGGTATGAGACATCACATTGAAGAAATGAAACCTCAAGTGAAAATGTTGACCAGTCGATTCATTCCTCGTGGATTCATCTTTTGGGGTCCTCCTGGAACTGGTAAGACAACAGTTGTGAAACATTTGTGTGAAGAATGGACGGTCAAACAAGTGTGCATGTCCTTGGCAAGTGGAGATTTCAAACAGGGTCTTCAAGGAGATTCTGAAAAGATGATTCGACATTTGGGGGAACGTGCAAATGCATTACCTTGGATGTTGTGTGCGGTGGTCATTGATGAAATTGATGCTTTGGCTCAATCTCGTGAAGGTCATAATGGTGAAAAGGGAGATGTCAATGTATTGAGTGTCTTGCTTAGTATGATTGGTGGAATGAACGACATTCCAAATTTAATCTTTTTTGGAAGTACTAATTTGTATCACATGATGGATGCTGCGTTTTTAAGAAGAATGGATGCCAAGTTTTTCATTGGAAAACCATCTTTCCAAGCAAGAGAGGACTGGATTCACAAGTTTGAAGATAGTCTTTACTTGGATCCTCAAGAAAAGCAGGACATCATTAACAAGATGAAAATAATGACTCTAAATTTTTCACACGATGCCATGCACAAGTTGTTGAAAATGATTGAAGTGAATAGAAAGTATGACTCTCCGAATCGACCTCTTACTTTGAAGGATGTGACTCGTTACATCCAGAATATCTGTAAAATGTATGACATTTACTTTGGAACGTATCGAATGACCGACTTAGCCAATGGTATGTCTCAAATGGAGAGGAATTCACGTCTACAATCAGTACTCATGCAGTTTTATAAGATTGCTCACTCGGTCAATAATCATCTCAGAACCAGCTTTACTGGAAGAATATGGATTGACTTGAGACCACACATTGGTGGTATTCAATTGGAATATTCATCTCGAAATTCCTTCTTGTCTGATGAAGAGATTGAGTTGTTGAATAGAAAGACTGTCTATGCCACTGGTATCCAAAATCATGTGATTGATGATCTTTATGGTTTACTGAACATTCTTCACAAACATGAAGAAAACAGGAAAGAAACAAGCCAATATACCAGACGCAGGCTTTACTCACTGATGGAACATGCTGCCAAAGATCTGATCACTCTCTTTTCTACCCGGGTGGAAGTGGAGGTTGATAAAAATCAAACCCAAAGTAAGGTCTGTGAGAGAATGTTGCACAGTTTAAACATTACTTCAACAAGTGTCGTTGAATTTTTGAAAAATCAAAGCTTTCCATACTTGCATGTCGATGCGACGGAGTCTTTACGAAACAAGTCCATCGAAATTATTGACGAAATTAAGAAGCAAATTATTGCGTCGATGGACAGCAACGTCCATGAAAAAGGAATTACTTTTGTGGATATGACCACAGGTAATGATAATGAAGGCTTCACCATTCAAGAGGTCATTCAAATGATTTTAGGATTTGGTGTTCATTCCAATATGGACGCTGTGTATTTGATGGATGCCAACACATTCTATGCCAATAATTTAACAGATGAATCGCAAATTCTTCGTTTCATTGAGTCTACTGTGACCGAATGTCGAGAGTATCATCGAAGTATGATGATTCTGGATTTAGACTCGATTGCAGAGGTGACCAAAGAATTTACTGGCCTTAAAGAACACGAGACAACAGCAGCAAACTCCTCATTGTCGGCCTTTTCACCATCCTTTAGTTATCGAATGTTGAGAAATGAAACCGTGTACAGAATTTTCCGATTGATTCATTCCATCACGCAGACTAACATCTCACCCAAACTTTGGTTCACCATTCTCTCGTCCGATCAATACCTTATTGATTTGTTTAAAAACAAGTGTCGTTGGCCCGAATGTGCAGAAGAACTCGAGAAGGTTCAACAGTTTGAAAAGGCCAATGAAAAGAAGCCTCTCACATGCAAGAATTGCAGAAAACAATTCTTTGAGGATGAGAATGAGGAATCAAGTTGCCGTTATCACACCAAAGACACTCTGTATTTTGAGCATGAAAAACGTATAGTGGAGGAATTGTTTATGAACAATATCAAGGAAACAGCCAAACAGTACGAGAAGGACAATGAGAAATTGAGAGATTTCCTCAAGACCATGAGAACGGAATATGAGCGAAAGATTCCTCTCTACAAAAAGTCTGAAATTGAAACCATGATGGCATCCACATTCGTTAATGTTTCCGAGTTGAGATGGTCATGTTGCGGAAGAGGTTATTACGATGGTGGAGAGATTGAAACCAAACATGAATGTTTGAATGAAAGGCATCATCATTATCACGACCTCAAGAAGCTTCTCCATTAAATGATTGGCCCCGACGACGAGGACGACCATGATGACGAGGTGTCACAAGTGTCACAACCATTCGACTCGTGCATGACCTATCGCAGTAACGCTCTTGACAATGAATAAACGAATGGAATTTATTCAATGATTGAAACTTGGAAACACCCTTTTCACATTCACACATTCACACATTCACACACACTACACTACAGACACACACTCTACACACACACTAAAGACACACACACACACTCTACACACACTACAGACATGCCCGTTACACACTCTACACACACTACAGACACACACACATACATCCTAAACAGAGACACACGCTCACTCCGTGTCAGCACGAGTACCACTTCGACTCGACACACGCGACTCACGACACTGTAAGTGAGACTCCGAGTGAGGAATAACAAGTGACGTTGGTGGACGTGTCTCAGTTTCGACCACTGCTCGATCGGGTTGATGAGTGGCATGAGAACGACGACTCGATTCGACCACACGCAACAAGGAATCGACATTGAAAAGCATATTCTCTCGGAATTGAGACAAGACACCTCGAATATTGTTCTCCCGCAAGTAACAAAAGAGAGCATAGACCAAGTAGCCCAAATTGGGAGCAGGAGGACGCACTCGACCACTCTCTCTCTCTCGATTCGCCAACAAATTGTGCAACGACATGTTGAAACAAAAGGCACCGACTCCTCGTATCAAACCATCGGCTTGATCCATCAAACGTCTCACCTCCTCCGACACGGGTAGAGAATTCAGGAGCAAGTCAAATTCTTCGCGAGCCGTCAGAGTCTCTTCTCGTTCCATACGTTCCAACACGAGGGTTGTCTCAGCAGCGAGCATGCTGGTTGTGCTCACTGGAAGAAGAGGTGGACGAACCAGAACATCATCAGGAGGAGGAGGAGGAGGAGGAGGAGGCGGAGGCGGAGGAGGAACTGATTCCACTCCAACACGAGGAGGAGGAACAGATTCCACTCCAACACGAGGAGGAGGAGGAGGAGGAGGAGGAACAGAACTCTCTTCGTCACGTCGAGTCATTGTTCTGGTCATGGCCACACGACTCGCAAACGTTACCATGGATGGTGGAGAGCTTGGTGTTGCTTTACACGTATTTTCTAGCTTGTGGGAGCACCTTGAAATTCACCGAGTCGACAAGTCTTCCTACTGCTCCGTTCCATGGTTGGTGATCACAGTGATTCGAATCAAGCAACTTTCTTTATTGGTCTTCCTCGAGCAGTGTCTTCCTTCCTCGACATGTCTCACTCAGCATCGATGGCCGAGAAGAGAGCGACGAGTTCGAGCACTCATTCGAACTCGTCGCTCTCTCCTCGAGTCAAGACACACCTCAAAACGACTTCGAGCATGGACTCGAACTCGATAGCCCTTTGCCTCTCTCCGTCGATAGGCTGTGTTGAAAATCTTGCTCGAATTTGTCGTTTCAACATTCAAGGATATTCTCTGAAAATGTAAAACAGAGGGGTGTGTCGTTCCACGTGGAAAGTTCGACCAAAGACTCGACCACCCTCCTTCTCGTTGCTAGGGTCGAGTCCTGCTCTTGCTCGTATTCGAACCGAGTAGAAATGGCCATAGGTACCTTGAAAAAAAGCACAACACCTCTCCAACAAGGGATTCATGCACGAGAATGAAAGCCTTGCTCCTCAATCGTCTCCTCAGAAATAAGGCCAATCGTCTTCACAAACGCAAGATCTTTCGAAACACACCACTCTCCTCGAGTTGTGCCAACGCTAGTATTCGCAATTTTGCCACTACCACTATGACGAGTGAAATGGGTCGTGGTGGCAGTCGCAGTGACAGTGGTCATGAGCGCGCCCCTAGTACTAAGAACGAGCACAAACACCCTCAGCAGCACGAGCAAGCGAATCTCGAGCGCCGACAAGCTCTCGCCAAGAAATTCAAGCAAATTCGTCGCTCCATGACTCCACAGCCGAGCACCAAGCAACAAGGAGCCACCAGTTCCATCGAGACCGCACCAAGCAAGAACGAGTACGACTATGAGCACCACCACGAGCACCACGACCCGTTAAGCCACCCCAATCTCGACCCAAGCATGACGGAGGCACCACAGTGGGACTCTCCCGTGATGGATGAAATACCATCACCACCCACTCACTCCTTGACCATGGAAAAGGATTGGTCATTTCCCGGCTATTTCACTCAGGATGAGTCATACTAATCCATCTTGAACCATGCATGCTCCAACGGTGTAATCGTGAGTGATCAATAAATTAATAGTAAGGACTGATTTGATTCATACCTCCAGATTTGACAATGCATGCTCAAGCAAACGCATTGAAAAATCTTTCATACTTTTCACAGATTGAATCAAACAGAACAAAAATATTTCGATCAGGATAGTACACGGTCGCAAGTCCAGAATGTTCAAATATATTCACTGGTACTGAAGCTTGTGATTTGTTTGCAAATTTTGAATTGAACCAACCAGAAGTTGGTGCCTGTTCTGGAAATTGAATATAGACCTGTGAGGCTGGAGTTGAACTGAGAGGCGAGAATCTTGCACTCCGAACCACATCCAAACTCAAAGTACCTGTATGATTGGAGGTACGTGCAACATCAATGATGGCTCTCTGATCAATGATTTTCTGTGGGTAATAATATGACAATACCATGTTGAGGCTTGCATCTCCGCAAGAATAATCCGTGATTTGATGAAGGTAGGGAATGTCTTGAATGATGAATTGTTGGCGAGTGGTAGTACTGGTAGTTGCTGATCTGATTTTCATCATTTTGTTTATGGATAAATTCATGGCATTAATGAAGGAATGATCATGAAGAGTCATCATGAGGAGCAATAACTGAAGCAGCACGACGACGAGGCTCAGCATCAAGGAGTTTCTCAAGCCACCACCACACCTACTGCCGCCGACGACAGACATTTTTTTTGGAAATGGCTCGACAGGACGAGGGGAGTCAAATTCGACCACCTTGCTACCGTTCAACGAACACATTGAAATGAAATGATCTATTTTAGGTTTTGTAAAAAGTATCAAAGAAAGGATAGTTATTCTGCCACGAGGAAAATGATGCGGAACACTTCCGACCTGAGTCGAAGGCGCAGCTGTGAGACGAAGGGCGGGAGGTTTCGCAGAAGTTTTCGAGTGGATAGAAGAATTTTTTTACCGGGTTGCTCGAGCAAACACAAGAACAATTTCGAAAAAAATGTCAGAACATCCCATCCCTGTTGCTGGTTCTAGCATGGAGCAACAGAAAAAGAAGAGAAAAACAGAATTGGACAAGGTGAGAGACACGATCGAACAATCAGATGTTGTTAATACTGGAGAGTGCAAGGGTACAAGATCAGAAAAGACTGTGAAAGAATACAAAAAGAAGCAAGAGTTGTTCGAAACATACTGCACCAAGCACAGCCTATGCACCACAGATGTAAAGAGCATGATTGCATTCATCAACGTCCTGGCCACAGAGAGTAATATTGTTGGACAGAAATTGTGGAAATATCATTCAGCTTTGAGTTACTGTTACCAACAAGCCACAAGAAGAACTTCCACAACAATTTTAGCAAGCTGTGATGGTGTCACTCAAGCAGATATTAAGAGGCACGGAAACTGGACAAGCAATTCTGTGGCTGATAGATATCAATCTGAAAACAGAGAAACAGCAACAAAAACAGCCTTAAAAATTAGCGAAAGACTCAATTCCGTCACAAGCACCACCAGCTCCACCATTGACAACACTGCACAAACTCCATTTCAAAGTTGTGTTTTCAATAACTGTACAATAAATTTCAATTTTTAATACCTTATTTGCTGCATTTGGGAAGTATGGTAAGGCTGTTCCGCAACTCAGTTAAGGACTGTTCCGCACAGCTTTCGGAAGTTCGCAGTTCACCCTTTTCCGCTGCATTTCCTCTGTGGATCGACTTAGTAGTCATATCATTTTTCGCTGGCATCACTTTCCAACACGGTAAAAAAGGGTAGTTTCAACAATAAGTCCACCCAAAAAAAAAATTCCACTCACAGCAACATGTTGCACAATACAATCACCCCAACAACAGTCGAATACGAAGACACGGTCGAAATTGATCCTGTTTTTGATGAAGAAGTATATGATACAAACTCCGAAGATGAATTTGATGACGATAAGCTTGGTTTGCTCACTGATGTATGTAATTCTATTTCTAAGCCATCAAATGTAGGAGATAATTATTTACAAATTGATGGTAAAATTATCAATTTGAAAGAAAATGAATATATAATTCCTAGAGGAAATGTTCACAAAGTAACAACTAATCAGCAGCAATTGAGATTTAATAATTATTTCTACAGCACTTGCTACAACCAACATTTCAAAGAGTCAACCTATTAGAAATATTACACTTCAGAATGAACCTCTTTCACTTCCCCCACCTAAATCATCCAACACAAATCATATGATGAATCAATTCACCATCATATGAATTGGATCAGAATTGTTCTCGAGAAAAGCGGTCGAGATCCGTCTGTGATGGCTGCAGCCTATGAAAAGTTGTTGAAAGAGCACTGGGTTTTTACTGTGGACGATTTGAAAGAATGGTCTGAACGAGATTGGTCCAACTCCTCTTGGCTACCACCAAATGCCAAAATTGTGCTGCAGGAAGGGGTAAATGAGCTCAAAACCAATCACCACAAGCAATATAACATCAAAGAAAAAAAAAGAAGTCAAGAAAAGCAACAGTATGCAGAGAAAGCTTTTATTGCAGGGTCATTGCACATGATCAAAAGATACTTTTATTATCATTCCAAAAGAATTGACCAAGTTCCACTGCTTTCCGAAGAGGCAGTACATTTTGCGTTTGAGGCTTTGGATTATAACGGCCTAGAACTACTTGACAGAATCAAAAACCAGTTCTTTAAGGCTTTTCAATATTCAAATACACAAGGAGTGAGCGTTCCCAGAGGTCTGTTGCTCTATGGACCGCCAGGCACAGGTAAAACAACAATCACGGAACACATTGGTGATTTAATTGGCTTGTATCAAGTAGTACCTCCTATCTCATCAACAGAAGTCAACAGAAGCCTAGTAGGAGAAACAGAAAAATTGTTGCTTGACATGTGTAACAGAGCAACACTAATTCCACACTTGGCAGCTTGTATTACCATAGATGAGATTGATAATCTTGCTCCCAAAAGAAATGATGACTCCAATTCTCAAGGCAAAAAAGATGCTCTATCCATTCTACTGGCTGTTATTGGAGGTATTAAGGACGTGGAAAATTTAGTTTTTCTTGCATCCACAAACTACAGAAATAACATTGATGACGCGTTTTTGAGAAGAATGAGAGGCCAGTTTTTTGTTGGAAGACCAAGCCCTGTGAGCCGAAAAGAATTCCTTAAAAAGAGCTTGCCTTCATTTTCTGATTCTTTATTGAATTATATGACTGCTTTAACATGTAACTTTACTGGAGCAGCACTAAAGGAACTCATTAGTGACATTATTGTAAAAATTTCTGACGAGAAGCCACAAGCCGACACTATTCAGAAGGTCTGTGTGAACTGTGCTATAGCTATTTGTGATCAATTTCAAACCCTCTTACTTGGAAAATATAACATTCCAGCTTTATTTCTAAAGAATCCGAATGCTGATTTTAATTTACAAATTGTTGATGGCCCTGATTTGAATGGAAAGATGTTGGTAGATTTATCTGGAACCTCTATACTGTTACGCCACAAATTTAATGCTAACAATGCCGCCATTGTGTTCATGGAAAAGAATACTCGTGAAGCATGTGGACTTATTTGGAACCTATCCACTAGTACCAACAAGACGGCACAAATTTTACCTTATTTTGCACAGTTTTCCGTTCAAAACAATGTGGATTTTATCCAATTATTGAACATGGATGTCTTACTGAGAAGTAATGCTTTTGATGAAAAAACCACAAAAGAAGTGTTAAACGAGAAAATGGAAGAAGTATATCAATATAACAAAACAATAACCATCTTTGATTTGGATTCACTAGTTGGAATATCGTTAAATCAATCAGATTCCAGTATGGGCGTGTCAAATTCAGTTCATGCAAACCATAGTAACATCTTGACCACAATACTCCATTACTTTATGGATGCACACGTGGATACACAACTTAATAAGATGAGGTGGATGGTAGTTATTTCATCTCATGCTTTCCTTATCTCAATGTTCAGAGAGTTAAGCAAGTTCCCACGATTGCAAACAGAAATACAATTAG